CCCTTTATATCTTTCTTCACATCATCTCATGTCCCTTTAATATGTCGCTTCACATCATCTCACGTCTCTTTATATCTTTCTTCACATCATCTCATGTTCCTTTAATATGTCGCTTCACATCATCTCATGTCCCTTTAATATGTCGCTTCACATCATCTCACGTCCCTTTATATCTTACTTCACATCTTCTCATGTCCCTTTAATATGTCACTTCACATCATCTCATGTCCCTTTAATATGTCGCTTCACATCATCTGTCACTTCACATCATCTCATGTCCCTTTAATATGTCACTTCACATCATGTCACTTCTCATCTCATGTCCTTTCTTTATATCATCTGTCCCTTTAATATGTCACTTCACATCATCTCATGTCTTTAATATGTCACTTCACATCATCTCCTTTAATATGTCACTTCACATCATCTCATGTCCCTTTCTATCTTTCTTCACATCATCTCATGTCCATTTATTATGTCTCTTCACATCATCTCATGTCCCTTTAATATGTCACTTCACATCTTCACATCATCTCATGTCTCTTTATATCTTTCTTCACATCATCTCACTTCCATCTGTATATCTTTCTTCACATCATCTCATGTCCCTTTCACATCATCTCATGTCTTTAATCTTCACATCATCTCATGTCCCTTTAATATGTCACTTCACATCATCTCATGTCCCTTTAATATGTCACTTCACATCATCTGATGTCTCTTTTATATGTCACTTCACATCATCTCAAGTCCCTTTATATTTCTTCACATCATCTCATGTCCCTTTAATATGTCACTTCACATCATCTCATGTCTTTATATCTTTCTTCACATCATCTCATGTCCCTTTAATATGTCACTTCACATCATCTCATGTCCCTTTATATCTTCACATCATCTCATGTCCCTCACTTCACATCATCTATGTATCTTTCTTCACATCATCTCATGTCCCTTTCACAATATGTCCCTTTATATCACTTCACACATCATCTTCACATCATCTCATGTCCTTTAATATGTCACTTCACATCATCTCATGTCTTTATATCTTTCTTCACATCATCTCATGTCCCTTTATATGTCACTTCACATCATCTCATGTCCCTTTATATCTTTCTTCACATCATCTCATGTCCCCTCTTCACATCATCTCATGTCATCTCATGTCTCTTTAATATGTCACTTCACATCATCTCATGTCCCTTTATATCATTATATCTTTCTTCACATCATCATCACATCATGTCCCTTTATATCTTTCTTCACATCATCTCATGTCCCTTTAATATGTCACTTCACATCATCTCACGTCACTGTATATCTTTCTTCACATCATCTCATGTCCCTTTATATCTTTCGTCACATCATCTGATGTCTCTGTAATATGTCACTTCACATCATCTCACTTCACATCATGTCCCTTTATATGTCTTTCTTCACATCATCTCATGTCCCTTTAATATGTCACTTCACATCATCTCATGTCACATCTTTATATGTCACGTCTTCACATCATCTCATGTCCCTTTATATATGTCTCTTCACATCATCTCATGTGTCTTTAATATGTCACTTCACATCATCTCATGTCCCTTTAATATGTCACTTCACATCATCTCATGTCCCTTTAATATGTCACTTCACATCATCTCATGTCTCTTTAATATGTCACTTCACATCATCTCATGTCCCTTTAATATGTCACTTCACATCATCTCATGTCTCTTTAATATGTCACTTCACATCATCTCATGTCCCTTTATATCTTTCTTCACATCATCTCATGTCCCTTTATATCTTTCTTCACATCATCTCTCATGTCACCATTTATATCTTTCTTCACATCATCTTTCTTCACATCATCTCATGTCCCTTTAATATGTCACTTCACATCATCTCATGTCTCTTTAATATGTCACTTCACATCATCTCATGTCCCTTTATATCTTTCTTCACATCATCTCATGTCCCTTTATATCTTTCTTCACATCATCTCATGTCCCTTTATATCTTTCTTCACATCATCTCATGTCTCTTCACATCATCTCATGTCCCTTTAATATGTCACTTCACATCATCTCATGTCCCTTTATATCTTTCTTCACATCATCTCATGTCCCTTTAATATGTCACTTCACATCATCTCATGTCCCTTTAATATGTCACTTCACATCATCTCATGTCCCTTTAATATGTCACTTCACATCATCTCATGTCCCTTTAATATGTCACTTCACATCATCTCATGTCCCTTTATATCTCTCTTCACATCATCTCATGTCCCTTTATATCTTTCTTCACATCATCTCATGTCCCTTTATATCTTTCTTCACATCATCTCATGTCTCTTCACATCATCTCATGTCCCTTTAATATGTCACTTCACATCATCTCATGTCCCTTTATATCTTTCTTCACATCATCTCATGTCCCTTTAATATGTCACTTCACATCATCTCATGTCCCTTTAATATGTCACTTCACATCATCTCATGTCCCTTTAATATGTCACTTCACATCATCTCATGTCTCTTTAATATATCACTTCACATCATCTCATGTCCCTTTATATCTTTCTTCACATCATCTCATGTCCCTTTAATATGTCACTTCACATCATCTCATGTCTCTTTAATATGTCACTTCACATCATCTCATGTCCCTTTATATCTCATGTCATCTCATGTCCCTTTATATCTTTCTTCACATCATCTCATGTCCCTTTATATCTTTCTTCACATCATCTCATGTCTCTTCACATCATCTCATGTCCCTTTAATATGTCACTTCACATCATCTCATGTCTCTTTAATATGTCACTTCACATTATCTCACGTCCATGTATATCTTTCTTCACATTATCTCATGTCCCTTTATATCTTTCTTCACATCATCTCATGTCCCTTTATATCTTTCTTCACATCATCTCATGTCCCTTTAATATGTCACTTCACATCATATGATGTCTCTTTAATGTGTCACTTCACATCATCTCACATCCCTGTATATCTTTCTTCACATCATCTCATGTCCCTTTATATCTTTCTTCACATCATCTCATGTCTCTTTAATATGTCACTTCACATCATCTCATGTCTCTTTCATATGTCACTTCACATCATCTCATGTCTCTTTAATATGTCACTTCACATCATCTCACGTCCCTTTAATATGTCACTTCACATCATCTCATGTCCCTTTATATCTTTCTTCACATCGTCTCACGTCCCTTTATATCTTTCTTCACATCATCTCATGTCCCTTTAATATGTCACTTCACATCATCTCATGTCCCTTTATATCTTACTTCACATCTTCTCATGTCCCTTTAGTATGTCACTTCACATCTTCTCACGTCCCTTTAATATGTCACTTCACATCATCTCATGTCCCTTGATATCTTTCTTCACATCATCTCATGTCCCTTTAATATGTCACTTCACATCATCTCACGTTCCTTTATATCTTTCTTCACATCATCTCATGTCCCTTAATATCTTTCTTCACATCATCTCACGTCCCTTTATATCTTTCTTCACATCATCTCATGTCCCTTTAATATGTCACTTCACATCATCTCACGTCCCTGTATATCTTTCTTCACATCATCTCATGTCCCTTTATATCTTTCTTCACATCATCTGATGTCTCTTTAATATGTCACTTCACATCATCTCACGTCCCTGTATATCTTTCTTCACATCATCTCATGTCCCTTTATATCTTTCTTCACATCATCTGATGTCTCTTTAATATGTCACTTCACATCATCTCACGTCCCTTTATATCTTTCTTCACATCATCTCATGTCCCTTTAATATGTCACTTCACATCATCTCACGTCCCTGTATATCTTTCTTCACATCATCTCATGTCCCTTTATATCTCTCTTCACATCATCTGATGTCTCTTTAATATGTCACTTCACATCATCTCATGTCCCTTTAATATGTCACTTCACATCATCTCACGTCCCTTTAATATTTCACTTCACATCATCTGATGTCTCTTTAATATGTCACTTCACATCATCTCATGTCTCTTTAATATGTCATTTCACATCATCTCATGTCTCTTTATATCTTCCTTCACATCATCTCATGTCCCTTTATATCTTTCTTCACATCATCTCTTGTCCCTTTAATATGTCACTTCACATCATATGATGTCTCTTTAATGTGTCACTTCACATTATCTCACGTCCATGTATATCTTTCTTCACATTATCTCATGTCCCTTTATATCTTTCTTCACATCATCTCATGTCCCTTTATATCTTTCTTCACATCATCTCATGTCCCTTTAATATGTCACTTCACATCATATGATGTCTCTTTAATGTGTCACTTCACATCATCTCACGTCCCTGTATATCTTTCTTCACATCATCTCATGTCCCTTTATATCTTTCTTCACATCATCTCATGTCTCTTTAATATGTCACTTCACATCATCTCATGTCTCTTTCATATGTCACTTCACATCATCTCATGTCTCTTTAATATGTCACTTCACATCATCTCACGTCCCTTTAATATGTCACTTCACATCATCTCATGTCCCTTTATATCTTTCTTCACATCGTCTCACGTCCCTTTATATCTTTCTTCACATCGTCTCATGTCCCTTTAATATCTTACTTGATGTCGTCTCATGTCCCTTTAATATCTTACTTGATGTCGTCTCATGTCCCTTTAATATCTTACTTGATGTCGTCTCATGTCCCTTTAATATCATACTTGATGTCGTCTCATGTCCCTTTAATATCTTACTTGATGTCGTCTCATGTCCCTTTAATATCATACTTAATGTCGTCTCATGTCCCTTTAATATCTTACTTGATCTCATCTCATGTCCCTTTAATATCTTACTTGATCTCATCTCATCTTATAGTCATCTCAACTCATATCTTAACTTATTTCACCTTACATTACTCTAACAGTATGATGAGGTTAAGTAATACTGTTTCTGCTGCTGTGATCTCCTAACAGCTCATATCATTGCTGAATAGTTTTTCCATACTTGTCCAGAAGTGACCTGTAAGAAAACATTATTTCATTAGAAAAATACAAGATTTTGTGGGTACCAAGCTACAAAAATTATTTATTTATTTACAGACAACATCAGCAAAAATTTGAATTTGTGAGCGATGCTGCTTTCTAATCAATGCGAAATATAATCCCTCATAAAAAGTAAGTGATTAAAAGTATATGTCATCATCACAGCTGAAACCAAGAATATGACAGACTAGTTTCTCAAGAGAAGCACTACTGTATTTTCCTAACTGTAATTTATAGCAAATTGTTGTGTTTTTTGTTTCTTTTTACAATGACCGAAGGGACATGAAACCACAGCAGGTCAATATTGTCATTGTGATTGTGGACATCTTTAAATGTAAACACATTTCCTATACAAAGCTAAAGATGGATGCTAAAGTAACTATCGTATTTATTCTAATAGACACCACGGGGGCGTGAAATTTTTCAAGGAGGGGGCGTTTAATAGGACACAAAGTTTCAGACTGAGTAGGTAGTCACATTTCATGGCTACCAATTTGAAACATTGTTTAACAAACTAACAAATTACTTGGTGTACTGTTTGAAATTGCAGTAACATGAACATTGTTTTAGCTTACATGTTGATAATTGGATTAGCTTGAACATTATTGTCATTTGCACTCACGATAACCTGTACTCTTGTATGAAATGACACGAGGTCGATTGTGCGAGTTTCTGTCAAGAAACGTACGTGACCCGTTTCTTATCGCTTGTATTTTATATCACAAAATAAAAAACAGCATTAGCCAATCTGATTCCTAACAAATCATCACATACCTGATAACCAGTATGTCAGGAAAAAAGCTAAGGGTAATTGGTTACGCAGAAGAGAACGGGAAACATGCTGTAACGAAAGTGTTTCATGTTGACAGAAAACGAGTGCGGGACTGGTGTCAAAACAAAGATAAAACTTTTACAAAAACATCTAAACGTTGTAAATGAGGATATTGATAAAAACCTGATGAAATGGCTGACTGACAGACGAGAAGCCAGTATCCGGGTGACTGGAAAAGCTTTGTGGTTTGAGGACCTACGCTAACATGGATGAAACCCCTGTGTGGTTTGACATGCCGCGTAAATCAACACTAGCATTAAAGGGAGAGAAGGAGGTCCGAGTCTATAGTACAGGGCATGAAAAACAATAAAATTACAGTGACACTAGCAGCCTACATTGTATGCTGACAGCACTAAAATCGCCCCACTTGTACACCTGCCTGGAGTTTGTCCCCCTACCCAAAGGTGATATCCCGAGTGGTATTGTAGTATACATGTGCTGGGCTGGACAGAAGTCGTGGTCTAACCAAGAAAACATTAAATTTTGGTTGAAGAAAATTTGGGGTGTTAATAATACTGTGAGGCGATTGCTAGTGTGGGACTCATTCCGAGGCCATTTAACAGAGGATATGAAAATCTAGTCAGAAATATAACACTGACATCTGTGTTATTCCCGGAGGTTACACATGTAAGCTACAGCCAGCTGATGTTTCCTGGAACAAACCCTTCAAATTAAAACTTGGAGAGTTGTATGATGAATGGTGTTTCAATGGCCCCATTGAGAAAACCAAAGCAGGAAAGCCCCATCTAAGGCTGTGATGTTGTCATGGTTTAAGGCAGCATGGGACAGTATTAGTCCAAGCTCTATCAGAAGATCTTTAAAAAAATGTGGCATTACAAATTCACTGGACGGTAGCGAGGATGACATTTTCCAACAAGATTCAGGTGATGAGGAATTACAATGATTTAGCAAAAAGGATGTCCAAGCTGCTGATGATGTTTTGCAAAATTTGAAGGGTGATGTGCATGTGTCTCGTCTTCCACCAATAGAAGTAAGAGAAAGTGATAATGGTGAAAGTGAAAGAGAAGATGGTAGCTCATACGGCAGTCCCGGATGTTAATGGAATGTAAACTGACATGTGTTCTTGATTTTTGGATCTTGTTCTATTTTGGATTTAACTGTTTTCTTGTTCAGAAATTCATATGAACATACATGGATATTTTGCATTTATAAAAGGTAAGTTTTGTTACCTGAGTTGTGGAAAATTACTCAGAAAATGGGATGGGATGGGTGGTGGGGGGGGCATCTATTAGAAACGGGGCGTCTATTAGAATAAATACAGTATATCAATTGTGCGATGATGCCCTGACGCCTAAAAAGTAATGGATAATTGAATTATACAGCAAAATATCAGCTGAATACGAATTTGACCATGGGTAAATTGTGAATAAGATATGATACCAGATTTAATATTTCACAGAAAAAAACAGTTAAAGGTATGGAAGATCACTGTGTGGGGAAAAATTATAAATTTTGGTCTTAAAACAATTTTTGTAAGAAAGAAGTCAGTTTAGTGCATCAGGAAGTTAACATCTGGGTTTGGACATTTGAAAAAATGTTTTAACTGTTAATGTCATGTTCCTCTTATCATCACATTTCCCCCTGACAAATGGATCATGATATTAAGCAGTTTGTACTGTACAATCTTTTATTTCAAATGTAAATATATTATTAGAGAAAGTTATTTGAAGTCAAAGACATCAAATTACATACAATACGCTTTAGACTGAAGTAAAACTGTTTCATATGATTGCTTTTGCAAAACAGTTCTACTTGACTTCGAAGTAACTTCATTATCAAGATATCTTATGGGTATACTCTGTTCAAATCAATTATGTGATCAAAGGGAAATAACTCATTCAAAACAATAACAGGTTGCAAGTACTTATCACAGAAGAAATTCTCAAGATTTACACTTACAAACACTGTTTGTGAATGGAAGAGAAAAATGATAACACTTACAAACACTGTTTGTGAATGGAAGAGAAAAATGATTACACTTACAAACACTGTTTGTGAATGGAAGAGAAAAATGATTACACTTACAAACACTGTTTGTGAATGGAAGAGAAAAATGATTACACTTACAAACACTGTTTGTGAATGGAAGAGAAGTCGGGTCGATCTTTATCATTCCATTCCCAACATTTCATCATCAGTTCAAAAACATCATCCGGGCAATTTTTTGTCTTTTCTTTCTTGAGGCGGAATCCTTTTCTCATATGTTCAAGTCCAATATCTATGAGATCCTTGATATTGCTGCCTCCAACCTCACAGATGTTTGGAGTTTCTCCCAATGTGAAGATTTCCCATGCTACAATACCATAGCTCCACACGTCACTCTTGTGAGTGAGCCGTTGATAATAAAGGACTTCAGGAGCACACCTGTGTTCAAATTATGTCATACTTCTTTACTTATTGACATATAAACTTTAAAATCTATTTATTTTACACTGATTATAAACATGTTATTTCAGCTGATATTAATCACTTTTGTTGAGGGGTGTGTGTGTGTGTGTGTGTGTGTGTAAATCCACCTGGCTGAACAGGTGAACCCATTATCTTTTAAAGTCCATTAAGGGAACAGAACCCCTGACACCTAGGTGAAATCTGAGTGCATTAACCACTGTGCCACCTGACCACTAACACATGTTTAAGTATTATCACCGAGTGATGTACCAGTCAATCCATTAAAAATCCAAATGGACACACAACTGATTTCCCCAAAAAATGAGGAAAGTAAAACTTCACACTAAATTTTGACATAATTCCTACATCCAAGTACAAAAAGGATGATTTTAAACTTTTATCTCTATTTCCCATATTGACTCTGCAAACATGTTTTTTTTTTTGACTGAGTCCCCTTCATACCAGGATATTTGAAGCAAAATTTGGTCAGAATACTGCCATTGTAAGAAAAGAAGATGAACTTCAAAGAATACATTTATCTGCCAAATTTAGTCATGTTCCTCAGAGGGTGAAACCCAAGGTTTACATAAAATTAAGTGTTCTTCATCTAAGGATGCTTTAGATCAAATTTGAACAAAACACTGTCATTCCTACAGAAGAAGGATTTTAGGGAAATTATTCTATTTCCTCTATTTGACCTCAAGATGGTCAGAATCACCATTCATACAAGATGGAGTCTAACTGACCCAAATATGCACCAGGCCAAACTGAACAAATCCAAAGTGTGGAAATGAAGCTGGATTTATAGTGCTAGCACACTGACCCTAACCCTATACAGATGAAAACCCCAAGCAGGGGACCTTAACAAGTCACATTTTATTGAAAATGGAAAAACATTTATATTATCACAATTATGGCAGGTAGTAGTTGAAGTGAGGAATAGTGTACACACCACCAACACGGCATCCTCTTGTTATTACTACGGCGATAGTAATCCTTTTCTAAAGCCTTGGACAGACCAAAATCAGAGATTTTCGCCATCATGTTGTTCATGAGAAGGATGTTCCGGGCGGCCAAATCACAGTGTATTATACTCTGCTCAACTAGATACTTCATTCCCTGTAACAAACAAGACAATCTGTCAACGACAACAAAGATAGATATAGTCTGAATGTAGTATAGTACATGTCTAATTCATCCTCTATCATACAAGTCTGAATGTAGTATACTACATGTCAAATTCATCCTCTATCATACAAGTCTGAATGTAGTATACAATATGTCAAATTCATCCTCTATCAGTTTCATTCATTGATTGATTGCCTGTATTTCAGTAGTAATTGACAAGATACTAATTATAAATGTTTATCTAAATTAGGATTAAGATTCCTTTGTACATAACCTCTTAGCATTCATGCACAGCTTTACTTTATATATGGTGCATGACTCACCATCTTGTCCTCCTTAATATATCTCATTTCATTTTCCATCCTCCCTTCATTTCATCAAATTTTATTGACATGATGTTAAGTCAAATGGATTGAATAACAGGTAATGTCTATACAAATTCTCTCCATACATGGCCGAATAATGAATCATAGATTGACAAGAAAAGGAAAATAAATAAACACAGAAAAGAGAAACAAATTAATACCATTAAAGGGGGGTAACTCTTACAAAAATCTCGCACACGCCATACACACCTACACACAGATAAACATGTACATGTACAAATTAGAATCAATTTAGCGTACGTATACAGTTTCTATAATCAGAAATTGGCAGACTCAGACCAAAAGTCCATGTGCAGTATATTGCACAGGTCCCTGCTGCCAACAACTGGTAAAGAGTGAAGAATAACAAATTATTTATAAAGTATTTAAAGAGTACATTTTATTTATACAGGTAATAGTTGGACTTGCCCAACTGGATTCCACAAAGAGTAATATCAATTCATTAATTTAATTGAACATCTTGGCTGTTTAAGTCATATAAAGATTAAAACGATGGTTTTTCCAATAAAAATATGTACATTATTACGTATTTGTCTATTTGTAGGCCCATCACAATCAGGACAGCCATGAAGAAGAATGTTTACATCAGTATGATTCTGGTTGCTATATCTATTAAATGAAGTGAAAAGAATGTTTCTTTGGTAGTTAAAATCCCTCCCTTGTGTAAAATCATAATTTTGTTGTTAAAATATCTTTCAAAATTTGATTTCGAGTCCAGAGTTACATGTAAATATTATATCAATGTTATAAACAAATATTATATACAAATGTTATATAAATATTGTATAAATACAGACATACCGAGGCAATGTCATACATAATCCCAAGACTCTGACGAAGGGAGATGGTCTTTCTGCCGGAACTACACAGAGTCAGATAATTGGATAGGGATCCCATTGGAACAAACTCCATTACAAGCATGTAGGCTTCAGAAGAAAATAAACACAGGTCAATCAAACATAAGTCCGATTAACTAGAAACAAAACATTAATTTTGGGGCTAATATGGAGGAACTCAACCTAAGAGATCAGTTTTTTTTTCAACTTAAAAATCTTTCCCTGCAGATTGAGATTCTTTATCTACTTGTCAAGAGAGTGCCTGCTTCTTTATCTCTTATTCTGAGACACTACTTACCCTGATATGCAGAACAATTGGTAACTAAGGAATGAAATTATCCAAAGGTTCAAAGGGAAAAGGAAATATGAAAAAGAAAAAGTGTATATACAAAGAAAATATTACACAGGTAAAAGTGTGGATACAGGGTTAGACAAAGGAAATATTACACCAGTAAAAGTGTGGATACAGGGTTAGACAAAGGAAATATTACACAGGTGAAAGCGTGGATACAGGGTTAGACAAAGGAAATATTACACCAGTAAAAGTGTGGATACAGGGTTAGACAAAGGAAATATTACACAGGTGAAAGTGTGGATACAGGGTTAGACAAAGGAAATATTACACAGGTGAAAGTGTGGATACAGGGTTAGACAAAGGAAATATTACACAGGTGAAAGTGTGGATACAGGGTTAGACAAAGGAAATATTACACCAGTAAAAGTGTGGATACAGGGTTAGACAAAGGAAATATTACACCAGTAAAAGTGTGGATACAGGGTTAGACAAAGGAAATATTACACAGGTAAAAGTGTGGATATAGGGTTAGACAAAGGAAATATTACACCAGTAAAAGTGCGGATACAGGGTTAGACAAAGGAAATATTACACCAGTAAAAGTGTGGATACAGGGTTAGACAAAGGAAATATTACACAGGTGAAAGTGAGGATACAGGGTTAGAGAAAGGAAATATTACACCAGTAAAAGTGTGGATACAGGGTTAGACAAAGGAAATATTACACCAGTAAAAGTGTGGATACAGGGTTAGACAAAGGAAATATTACACCAGTAAAAGTGTGGATACAGGGTTAGACAAAGGAAATATTACACAGGTGAAAGTGAGGAAATATTACACCAGTAAAAGTGTGGTACAGAGAAAGGAAATATTACACCAGTAAAAGTGTGGATACAGGGTTAGACAAAGGAAATATTTCACCAGTAAAAGTGTGGATACAGGGTAGGACAAAGTAAATATTACACCAGTAAAAGTGTGGATACAGGGTTAGACAAAGGAAATATTACACAGGTGAAAGTGAGGATACAGGGTTAGACAAAGGAAATATTTCACCAGTAAAAGTGTGGATACAGGGTTAGACAAAGGAAATATTTCTTTCCATAGGCTCATAAGGTGACCTCGTCAGGGAATCTAGCACCAAGGCTAAATTCCACTGCGGGGCCAGCTGCCGAACTCTGGGTCTATCCAAAGCGAAGCCTCTGATTAGGGCAGAAAGAGATGAGGAAGAACCTATCTCCTTCCTGCCGTAAAAGGCCAAGACACTGGCAATTGCTGTCCTATAGCCAGCAATAGTGCCAGGTGCCAGATTGCGGTCCCTAAACTGAGAGAGTAGGAAATCCGCAATCAGCTGAACAGAGGCTTCGAATGGATCAACCTCCCTGCCGACACACCAATCACAGAAGATCTTCCATCTGGACTGGTAGACGGCAGAAGAGGAAGCCCTGATAGATCACGTGATGCGATCTGACACCTCTCGAGAAAAGCCTGCCTTTGCGAGGCTTCCAGAGATAGCCTCCACGCGTGAAGGTGGAGGATCTCTGGTCGAGAGTGTGTCGTCCTGGACCGATGCTGACGCAGGAGATTCGGTCTGGTGGGGAGAGCCAGGGGCTCCTCCACCAGAAACGACAAGAGCTGCGGAAACCAAGGCTGCCTCGGCCACAGGGGGGCTATCAGAAGTAAGGAGCAGTGATGCTCCCTGAACTTCTGAAGCACCCTGCCCACCAGGTTGAAGGGAAGGAATGCATAGGAATGCGTCCCAGTCCAGAGAAAGGATGTCCACAGCCCAAGCCTTCGGATCTGGGACCGGAGAGACGAAGGTTGGCAGCTGATTGTTCAGAGAAGTGGCAAACAGATCTATCAAAGGCCTGTCCCACACCTGACAAATTCCCCGGAAGACTGAGGGACACAGCTGCCATTCCGTCAACACCGGTTGGCGGTGCCTGGAGAGGGTATCCGCCAACACATTCAACCTGCCCGGAAGATGCTGGACCGCAATGGACAATTGCATCTCCTGACAGAGGAGAAGGATGCGGATGGAGAGGGCACACAGGACGTGAGACCTGGTGCCCCCTTGTCTCTCCAGATACGTGACAACTGTAGAGTTGTCTGTAGCCACAGGACTGCAGGAACCCCCGAAAGGATTGCAGTGCCAAAAGAACTGCCCTCATCTCGAGCACGTTGATGTGCTCCGAGAGCTGATCCCCAGACCACTCCCCTGAGCGTCAATGGCCGTCGAGGTAAGCTCCCCATCCTGTCATGGAAGCATCCGTGAACAGGGTCATAGAGGGGACAGGCTTGGTCAGAGGAACCCTGCAGAGAACATTCTCCCGAATGGTCCACCAGCGAGCGAACTCCCTGACCGACTGAGTGAGAGTTATCCAGGCCTCCCACTTCCTGGATGACGGAACCCAGTTGGACAGGAGGAACATCTGGAGAGGTCTGATGTGAAGTCTCCCTAGGGGGACCACATCTGCCAGGGCATTGAGATACCCCAGAAAACTGATGAAGGACAGAGCTAGAGCCCTGGCCTTCTCGAACTTCTCCACCGGTGGTAGGGCTATGCCCAGAACCGTATCGAAACGATTCCCCAGGAAGACGAAGTCCTGAGATGGGGAAACCTCTGACTTCTCTCTGGAAGGAATGAAGCCGACTCTGAGCAAGACTTTCATGACCAGCCGTGTGGACATCTATTCCGCAAGAGTGAAGGAATCCCACGACTACCTGCAGCAGCTTGGTGAACACCAAAGGAGCTGTTGTCAGCCTGAAGGGCATGGCCCGGAATTGGAAGACCTTGCCGTTGCACATGAAACGGAGGAACTTCCGTGCCGACTTCTTGATGGGAATATGGAAATAGTCATCCTTCAGATCTACCGAAGTTGCCCACATCCCATCCCTCACGGAGGCCATGATGCCCCGTGGGATCTCCATCTTGAAGTGAGGAGAATCTACGTGCCTGTTGAAGGCACTGAGATCTATGATCGGACGCCACTCTCCGGACTTCTTCTGAACAATACATTCGGGAGTAGAAACCGGGAGTGATTTCCGACATAGGAATCTCCTCTACCGCGCCCTTTGCAAGCAAGGTCCTTACTTCCTCCTGGATCGCCCAAGCCTTCTCCAAATCCCCCGGAGGAGGAAAGAAGATCGGCTGGGCGGTAAGAGATGGATCCCGAAGAAGGGGAATACCTAGACCCTCCTTGACCACCGACAATGTCCTCCGTAATTTCCTGCCACTGGGACAGGAAAGCGGAGAGACGCCCGCCCACAAGAAGTTCCGGATGTGGCAGATCGAGTCCCTGACAAACCAGCGATTCGTCCGCCCATCCGGAGCCTGAGCCTGCGGGAGAAGGACAAGCGACCTGAACGGGAGGACCGCCGTCCACTCCGCCGTCCACCCCGCCAGACCCCTGTTCTGTCTCGGGCAAGGAGAAGAAAGAGTCAGGAGCCCTTCTTTTTGCCCCCAGGTTTCTTACCTTTCTTACCTTTCCCCTTATTGCCCTTGAAGTGTGGCTGCGATTTGGGTTGGGCAGACGCCTTGGGAGGTGCTGACCACTGCGAGGCGCTGGCCTTCTCGGAACGAAACCTCTTCCCCAAGAGTGCTGAGGTGACCGAGTCCTCCTTCATATCCTTCTGGACAGAAGGTAGAGCTCCCCCGAACAGGGTAGAGCCAGAGAAGGGGGCAGTCAATAGATGGGAAAGATAAGGTTCCTCGACTGGGCGATTTTTTAAGATTGAAAATCGCCTAGCCAACACGACATTGGCGAGCAGGGAGACCTGTAAGGCCGCTGATGCCCTCAACGCTGCGTTCAGGGCAGCTGTAAGCCTGTCCTGAATTTCGGCCTGTTCTGTCTCTGGTACCCGACCCTCAGGCAAGTCAGATACCTTGTATAGACTCACAGTCAGGAAGTCTATGTAAGACAGAACTTGGATGGAAAGGCACAACATCCTCTCCATCCTGTGGTGCTCTCTAGCCTCGAGCACCAAGTGGTCAACCGATTTGCCGGGCCTGGCAGCCAACTCCCTCGACTCCAGCTGTGCTGGTTGAGGGGCCAGTTGCCCGTCATGTGTAGCGTAGTCAGCGGTAGAAGCCTCTGACAAATCACCAACACCGAGCTGCAGACCTGCAAACCCTGGGGTGCGGGTAGATGAAGAATTCTTCTCCAAAACCCGTGCCCGGGCGGTGGCCAGAGCCGAAGACACAATGGTGCCTTCTGGCAGAGTCCGATCAGTTCGAACGGAAGCCTGAGGAGCCACCAAAGAACCTAGAAGGGTGGTGGATTCGGGCACCGACGATGCAGAAGGCGGTGGGCATACCTCCTACCCGAGAATCCGAGAAATGTCGGCCCGTAGGGCCTGCATCCCCGAAAGAACATGCTGAGCCTCGGTTTCAGCAATCTCGGAGCCCCCTACCTCCTGGGAACCCTCCTGGTCGGATGGGTCATCTGCAGATGACTCGGATGGATCAATCGCCGAGCACCCAGGAGACAGATGGATAACATCGTCATCCTCTGCCAAGCCCACGCCCTCAGCGTCCATCTCCTCCTCGCTATTGACCGAAGTCGCCAGAGGAGACCTCTCCGGAGAGGGGGACTCCTCTATACGGCGTTTAGACGTAGAACGTCTAACAGTCGAAGCTGTAGGCTTAGAAGCCAACCCCTGAGGACAGGAGACCGACGGGTCCGCGCGGGAGGCGGAAGTCCTAAAGGTACGGCGAACCTTTTTAGGACTGGCCGAAACGGCCCCCGAAGTAGCAGAGCATTGGGGGGATTCAGCACTGCTAAAACGTCTCCTAGAGGGAGAGACCATACCCCAAGGGTTCCATGAAGGAAGACCCATGGGGTTGAACCCAAACGCCTGAGGGAATGAGAACAGTCCCGCGGGCTGGGAGTGACCCCAGAACTGGCGAAATTGGCCTGCCTGAGCCTGGGGCTGGACACCCTGTCCAAAGGACCAGGATGAACCTCCACTCCCACCGGGTGGAAACCCACCCATGTACGGGCCGAGCCCGTAACCGCTGGGTAACTGTTGGTACCCATGACCATCCGCAGGTTGGCCTGGGCGGCCCGGGATTAAGTGCCCACAGGCACCCCTACACCCCGAGCCAGGGGGAAAAGGCGACCGGAAACCGGAAGCCTGACCTGGGGCCCCAAATCCCTGGGGGAAACCCCCTGGGAAACCCTGCACCGGAAAATTTGGACTAGAGCGAAAAAGCCCCAGATCCAGAGACCTGTGAGGGTAGGAACCCAGGCCCCGCACTGACACTAGGATTAGTGAACTCAGTGACACTAATCCCCGTAGCCACTGACAACCCTGACAAAAAGTCAGTGACCCCTGACCCCATACCCGAGGGTACCGGTCCGGCGTCAGGGCGGCCCCCAACAACGACGCCACCTGGCGAAGATGAGGACGAATCCCTCTCCCGGCGAGAAGTTGCCGACTGGGCAGAGGAACCTTTACAGCGGACCCGGCGTGCAAACAAAGTTCGCACGGTGAGGCCTCGCTGCAAGGCCGGCATAAGGGACAGGCATCATGAGGGTCCTGCTCTCCCGAACCATGACGCAGCCCTGAACTATCCATAATTGTTACGAAATAAATAAGCAAATAACAACAGTTATTAATACAAATAAATGTAACAAAAATAAACGGAGTGAAAAAACACAACTCCAACAAACAAATACGAATGAAAGCAAAAGCTAACGAAACGTAAAAAAGCTAAGCAAAATATACGGTCGAATAAATAATACCGATAAAAAGCGAAAAAACTTCACGAAAAACCGAACAGCGCAAAACACGTGGATACGCGCTCAGTGCGTGGAGTATAGCAATGGCCGAACAAAGCCGGCCGAATAAAGGCCTAAAAGCAGGATATATTAACAAAATAAACGTCTGCAAAAAACTGTTAAAGTTAACGATGGGTTAAAGCAATAAGCCGATATATAAATACTTGGCTATAAGCTAGACTTAAGCGAAAAAGAAAAGGAAGGCACTCAGCTGAATATAGCACGTCCGCCCTCTCCGGTAGCCATAAAGATAAGAGGAAGGGAAATAACTCTATGTTCATGACGTGAAGGCTCATGGTCGTAGGGAGGGCGGGATTTTTGAATCTTTTGTTTTTGGGATACAAAGATGGGTGTAGGTACCATATTTGCATACTAAAGTTATGGTAATTATTACTGAAATGAAAAGTGTGGATACAGAGTTAGACAAAGGAAATATTACAGAGGTTAAAGTGTGGATACAGGGTTAGACAAAGGAAATATTTCACCAGTAAAAGTGTGGATACAGGGTTGGACAAAGTAAATATTACACCAGTAAAAGTGTGGATACAGGGTTAGACAAAGGAAATATTACACCAGTAAAAGTGTGGATACAGGGTTAGACAAAGGAAATATTACACCAGTAAAAGTGTGGATACAGGGTTAGACAAAGGAAATATTACACCAGTAAAAGTGTGGATACAGGGTTAGACAAAGGAAATATTACACCAGTAAAAGTGCGGATATAGGGTAAGACAAAGGAAATATTACTAGTAAAAGTGTAGATACAGAGTTAGACAAAGGAAATATTTCACCAGTAAAAGTGTGGATACAGGGTTGGACAAAGTAAATATTACACCAGTACAAGTGTGGATACAGGGTAGGACAAAGTAAATATTACACCAGTAAAAGTGTGGATACAGGGTTAGACAAAGGAAATATTACACAGGTGAAAGTGTGGATACAGGGTTAGACAAAGGAAATATTACACCAGTAAAAGTGTGGATACAGGGTTAGACAAAGGAAATATTACACCAGTAAAAGTGTGGATACAGGGTTAGACAAAGGAAATATTACACAGGTGAAAGTGAGGATACAGGGTTAGACAAAGGAAATATTACACCAGTAAAAGTGTGGATACAGGGTTAGACAAAGGAAATATTACACCAGTAAAAGTGTGGATACAGGGTTAGACAAAGGAAATATTACACCAGTAAAAGTGCGGATATAGGGTTAGACAAAGGAAATATTACACAGGTGAAAGCGTGGATACAGGGTTAGACAAAGGAAATATTACACAGGTGAAAATGAGGATACAGGGTTAGACAAAGGAAATATTACACCAGTAAAAGTGTGGATATAGTGTTAGACAAAGGAAATATTACACCAGTAAATGTGAGGATACAGGGTTAGACAAAGGAAATATTACACCAGTAAAAGTGTGGATACAGGGTTAGAGAAAGGAAATATTACACCAGTAAAAGTGTGGATATAGTGTTAGACAAAGGAAATATTACACCAGTAAATGTGTGGATACAGGGTTAGACAAAGGAAATATTACACCAGTGAAAGTGTGGATATAGGGTTAGAAAAGGAAATATTATGCCAGGACTATACACTGCTGACAAATAGGACATTGCAGCTGTTGGAAGTGACTGAAAATTATGCAAATTATCTTCAAACTGAATAAAATGTTGAGTGTTAAACAAAAAATATGAATCCTGTTTGATAAATAGAATCTATGAGTCCTGTGTGATAAACAGAAACAATGACTCCAGTGTGATAAACAGAAACAATGACTCCTGTGTGATAAATAGAAACAATGACTCCTGTGTGATAAACAGAAACTATGACTTCTGTGTGATAAACAGAAACTATGACTCCTGTGTGATAAACAGAAACAATGACTCCTGTGTGATAAACAGAAACTATGACTTCTGTGTGATAAACAGAAACTATGACTCCTGTGTGATAAACAGAAACAATGACTCCTGTGTGATAAACAGAAACTATGACTTCTGTGTGATAAACAGAAACAATGACTCCTGTGTGATAAACAGAAACAATGACTCCTGTGTGATAAACAGAAACTATGACTCCTGAGTGATAAACAGAAACTATGACTTCTGTGTGATAAACAGAAACTATGACTCCTGTGTGATAAACAGAAACAATCAGGTAAAACTTTACCATCTCTAACAAATCCATGAAATGTGACAATGTTTGGATGACAGGCTCTTCCAAAAACATCAATCTCCTCCCAAAACTGCTCTTCGTTGTAATTGAGGTGGCTTTCTTCTATGACCTTGATAGCGACCTCTTTCTGTTTATATGATCCCTTGTACACAAAGCCGAACTCACCCTGTGGGTATAAAATTATTTCAGTGTTAATGCACAATTTCTTGCCATGGGATTGGAAAGATTTACAAAGCAAACATAGTTAAAATCAATAAATCTTAAACTCGCCAGCTGTTTTAATTTCCATTGTACAGATACCAAACAATTCAAAAATCTAAAATAACAGGGTTAGAACAGCTGCTATTTCTGTTGATTTTTTAAATGTGAGAACAGCTGCTATTTCTGTTGATTTTTTAAATGTGAGAACAGCTGCTATTTCTGTTGATTTTTTAAATGTGAGAACAGCTGCTATTTCTGTTGATTTTTTAAATGTGAGAACAGCTGCTATTTCTGCTGATTTTTTAAATGTGAGAACAGCTGCTATTTCTGTTGATATTTTAAATGCGAGAACAGCTGCTATTTCTGTTGATTTTTTAAATGTGAGAACAGCTGCTATTTCTGTTGATTTTTTAAATGTGAGAACAGCTGCTATTTCTGTTGATTTTTTAAATGCGACAACAGCTGCTATTTCTGTTGATTTTTTAAATGCGAGAACAGCTGCTATTTCTGTTGATTTTTTAAATGCGAGAACGCTATTTCTATTGATTTTTTAAATGCGAGAACAGCTGCTATTTCTGTTGATTTTTTAAATGTGAGAACAGCTGCTATTTCTGTTGATTTTTTAAATGCGAGAACAGCTGCTATTTCTGTTGATTTTTTAAATGTGAGAACAGCTGCTATTTCTGTTGATTTTTTAAATGTGAGAACAGCTGCTATTTCTGTTGATTTTTTAAATGCGAGAACAGCTGCTATTTCTGTTGATTTTTTAAATGCGAGAACAGCTGCTATTTCTGTTGATTTTTTAAATGCGAGAACAGCTGCTATTTCTGTTGATTTTTTAAATGCGAGAACAGCTGCTATTTCTGTTGATTTTTTAAATGCGAGAACAGCTGCTATTTCTGTTGATTTTTTAAATGCGAGAACAGCTGCTATTTCTGTTGATTTTTTAAATGCGACAACAGCTGCTATTTCTGTTGATTTTTTAAATGCGAGAACAGCTGCTATTTCTGTTGATTTTTTAAATGCGAGAACAGCTGCTATTTCTGTTGATTTTTTAAATGTGAGAACAGCTGCTATTTCTGTTGATTTTTTAAATGTGAGAACAGCTGCTATTTCTGTTGATTTTTTAAATGCGAGAACAGCTGCTATTTCTGTTGATTTTTTAAATGTGAGAACAGCTGCTATTTCTGTTGATTTTTTAAATGCGAGAACAGCTGCTATTTCTGTTGATTTTTTAAATATGAGAACGCTATTTCTATTGATTTTTTAAATGCGAGAACAGCTGCTATTTCTGTTGATTTTTTAAATGCGAGAACAGCTGCTATTTCTGTTGATTTTTTAAATGTGAGAACGCTATTTCTATTGATTTTTTAAATGTGAGAACGCTATTTCTATTGATTTTTTAAATGCGAGAACAGCTGCTATTTCTGTTGATTTTTTAAATGTGAGAACAGCTGCTATTTCTGTTGATTTTTTAAATGCGAGAACAGCTGCTATTTCTGTTGATTTTTTAAATGTGAGAACAGCTGCTATTTCTGTTGATTTTTTAAATGTGAGAACAGCTGCTATTTCTGTTGATTTTTTAAATGCGACAACAGCTGCTATTTCTGTTGATTTTTTAAATGCGAGAACAGCTGCTATTTCTGTTGATTTTTTAAATGCGAGAACAGCTGCTATTTCTGTTGATTTTTTAAATGCGAGAACAGCTGCTATTTCTGTTGATTTTTTAAATGTGAGAACAGCTGCTATTTCTGTTGATTTTTTAAATGTGAGAACAGCTGCTATTTCTGTTGATTTTTTAAATGCGACAACAGCTGCTATTTCTGTTGATTTTTTAAATGCGAGAACAGCTGCTATTTCTGTTGATTTTTTAAATGCGAGAACAGCTGCTATTTCTGTTGATTTTTTAAATGCGAGAACAGCTGCTATTTCTGTTGATTTTTTAAATGTGAGAACAGCTGCTATTTCTGTTGATTTTTTAAATGCGAGAACAGCTGCTATTTCTGTTGATTTTTTAAATGTGAGAACAGCTGCTATTTCTGTTGATTTTTTAAATGCGAGAACAGCTGCTATTTCTGTTGATTTTTTAAATATGAGAACGCTATTTCTATTGATTTTTTAAATGCGAGAACAGCTGCTATTTCTGTTGATTTTTTAAATGCGAGAACAGCTGCTATTTCTGTTGATTTTTTAAATGCGAGAACGCTATTTCTATTGATTTTTTAAATGCGAGAACAGCTGCTATTTCTGTTGATTTTTTAAATGTGAGAACAGCTGCTATTTCTGTTGATTTTTTAAATGTGAGAACAGCTGCTATTTCTGTTGATTTTTTAAATGCGAGAACAGCTGCTATTTCTGTTGATTTTTTAAATGTGAGAACGCTATTTCTATTGATTTTTTAAATGCGACAACAGCTGCTATTTCTGTTGATTTTTTAAAATGCGAGAACAGCTGCTATTTCTGTTGATTTTTTTAATAAGCTTGATGAGTTATTGAGAATTGATGCCCAAAATCGGGGCTAAAAGGTTTTGTCTTTATCTTAGATAAATAAATAAAGGTTGACAAAAATGCTTACATCACAGTCCAGATTAATACCGTATGAAGTTCATTATTTAATATCTCAGATGCTTAATCATATTTGGTCAGTTTATCATGAACGGGAACAGTACATTGTTGCTATATGCTCAAAAAGAAATCAAACTTGATGTGGTGTGTTACTGTGAAGCATGGCAAAATAGCCCAGAATAAGAATACCATTATCATTGTGATTCTCTCTCATGGTGAAATACACCTCCCTGATGGACTTTACCTTAAACTATATTAATGTATGTAATAAAACACAGCTCTACCAACTGAGCTAAAGATGAGACTAGGCGAGCCACTGATTCTTGATGTGAGTTTTTGTATCTATAATCGTTTGTCTGATGAAGGTGACCTTAAAGTCATCAAAACGTCACACTCTAATCATCTACCGGTTGTGTTATAAGATGAAGGTGACCGTGTAGTCATCAAAACGTCACACTCTAATCTTCTACTGATTGTGTTATGAGAACTTTAATACTATATGTAGCACACTGTCCCTTTCAATTAACAAACTTTTATATATTTTACAGTAAAAGAAGCTATAATAGGAGGGGACCTCAGTATTTGGTAAAATCCTGTTGGGCTGGTGACTCCTATCTTGTCTCATCCAATCAGGGAATCAAATCCTGGACACCTAAGTGTATTAATACTGTGCCATCCAACGACCCATAAATACAATATTACAACTCACTCGTCCCAGCATCTCCTCTTTGTTGAACACTAGGTCCTTCTTGGAGATTAAAAAGTTTAAATCATCTCTGGGTTTCCTCGGTGTGTCACTGGCAGACTTTGGTGAAGTTATTAGTTTGACAGCACTGGCACAGATAGCAGTAGTTTTGTTTTCTTCGGTATTTTTTGATGACAAACTTGTTTGGATCTCATTGACGACAGGATCTGTTGTGACTGCTGGTATTGTGACTACAGGGGTAGTTCCGTTTACAGGAGTTGGTGGTGAGAATGAGGATTTCAAAATCCCAGTTTCTTCTGGAAACCCGGTGTCTGGTTTTGTCACACTAGCTTTAACTTGTGGTCTTAAATCGTACAAAATTTCACTGAAAATATACCAGAAATAGAATATAATCTCAAGTTAGAAATATAGCAGAGACAGAATGTAACATCAAGTTAGAAATATAGCAGAGACAGAATGTAACATCAAGTTACAAATATAGCAGAGACAGAACAGAACATCAAGTTAGAAATATAGCAGAGATAGAACAGAACATCAAGTTAGAAATATAGCAGAGACAGAATGTAACATCAAGTTAGAAATACAGCTGAGACAGAATGTAACATCAAGTTAGAAATATAGCAGAGACAGAACAGAACATCAAGTTAGAAATATAGCAGAGACAGAACAGAACATCAAGTTAGAAATATAGCAGAGACAGAATGTAACATCAAATTAGAAATATAGCAGAGACAGAACAGAACATCAAGTTAGAAATATAGCAGAGACAGAATGTAACATCAAGTTAGAAATATAGCTGAGACAGAATGTAACATCAAGTTAGAAATATAGCAGAGACAGAACAGAACATCAAGTTACAAATATAGCAGAGATAGAACAGAACATCAAGTTAGAAATATAGCAGAGACAGAATGTAACATCAAGTTAGAAATATAGCAGAGACAGAATGTAACATCAAATTAGAAATATAGCAGAGACAAAATGTAACATCAAGTTAGAAATATAGCTGAGACAGAATGTAACATCAAATTAGAAATATAGCTGAGACAGAATGTAACATCAAGTTAGAAATATAGCAGAGACAGAATGTAATATCAAGTTAGAAATATAGCAGAGACAGAATGTAACATCAAGTTAGAAATAGAGCAGAGACAGAATGTAACACCAAGTTAGAAATATAGCAGAGACAGAATAGAACATCAAGTTAGAAATATAGCAGAGACAGAATGTAACACCAAGTTAGAAATACAGCAGAGACAGAATAGAACATTGAGTTAGAAATATGGCAGAGACAGAATAGAACATTGAATTAGAAATATAGCAGAGACAGAATAGAACATCAAGTTAGAAATATAGCAGAGACAGAATGTAACATCAAGTTAGAAATATAGCAGAGACAGAATGTAACACCAAGTTAGAAATATAGCAAAGACAAAATGTAACATCAAGTTAGAAATATAGCTGAGACAGAATGTAACATCAAGTTAGAAATATAGCAGAGACAGAATAGAACATTGAGTTAGAAATATAGCTGAGACAGAATAGAACATTGAGTTAGAAATATGGCAGAGACAGAATAGAACATTGAATTAGAAATATAGCAGAGGCAGAATAGAACATCAAGTTAGAAATATAGCAGAGACAGAATGTAACACCAAGTTAGAAATATAGCAGAGACAGAATAGAACATCAAGTTAGAAATATAGCAGAGACAGAATGTAACACCAAGTTAGAAATACAGCAGAGACAGAATAGAACATTGAGTTAGAAATATGGCAGAGACAGAATAGAACATTGAATTAGAAATATAGCAGAGACAGAATAGAACATCAATTTAGAAATATAGCAGAGACAGAATGTAACATCAAGTTAGAAATATAGCAGAGACAGAATGTAACACCAAGTTAGAAATATAGCAGAGACAAAATGTAACATCAAGTTAGAAATATAGCTGAGACAGAATGTAACATCAAGTTAGAAATATAGCAGAGACAGAATAGAACATTGAGTTAGAAATATAGCTGAGACAGAATAGAACATTGAGTTAGAAATATGGCAGAGACAGAATAGAACATTGAATTAGAAATATAGCAGAGGCAGAATAGAACATCAAGTTAGAAATATAGCAGAGACAGAATAGAACATTGAGGTAGAAATATAGCAGAGACAGAATAGAACATTGAGTTAGAAATACAGCAGAGACAGAATAGAACATCAAGTTAGAAATATAGCAGAGACAGAATAGAACATTGAGGTAGAAATATAGCAGAGACAGAATAGAACATTGAGTTAGAAATATGGCAGAGACAGAATAGAACATTGAGGTAGAAATATAGCAGAGACAGAATAGAACATTGAGTTAGAAATATGGCAGAGACAGAATAGAACATTGAGGTAGAAATATAGCAGAGACAGAATATTACATCAATTTTGAAATTGTTAAGGAACAGTTTGATGATCCCTAATTTTTGTTTGAAATTGGAGGATAAAAAGATTTTTCATGAGAACTAATCATTTTCAAATATCTTTGTATTCCTATGACCTGTAATTAAGAGAGAATTACAGTGTAGTTCATTTTTGTACGATGGGAGGTTTATAAGTGAAGTACCCAGTAAATGGATAGAGAGAACAAGAGGCCCATGGGCCTTAACGGTCATCTGACATTAGATACAAGATATTTGACCCCTGTGACCTTTAAAGTGGGTCAAGGTCATTCATTTGAACAAACTTGGTAGAGCTCCATGCCAGTATGCTCTGTTCCAAGTACTAGCCCCCTAGACCTTCTAGTATTTGAGAAGAAGTTGTTTGAATGAAAAGTTTACGCACGGCGGACGGCGCACGGCGGACGACGACAGACGAAGCACGATGGCTATAGGTCATCTTGACCCTTTGGGTCAGATGACCTAAAAAGAGATAAAATGGTTGTTGTTCTAATTATTGTAAAAGTCAGTAAGTTGTCAATTTTATTTTGAATTTACATGGATACTCTCTGATTAGAAAGAGAAAAAGAGATAAAATGTTTGATATTTTTTATTATTATCATTATTTAAAGTTAGTAAGTTCTCGATTTTTGTAACATTGTATACATGAACATGAAGATTGTATACATGAACATGAATATTGTATACATGAACATTATATACATGAACATTGTATATATGAACAATGTATATATGAACATGAACATTGTATATGTGAACATTGTATATATGAACATTGTATACATGAACATTGTATAAATGAACAATGTATATATGAACATGAACATTGTATATGTGAACATTGTATATATGAACATGAACATTGCATACATGAACATTGTATTCATGAATATTGTTTACATGAACAATGTATATATGAACAATGTATACATGAACATTGTATACATGAACATGAACATCGTGTACATGAACATTAATTACCTAAAAGCCTCATTTTTGTTTGTTTTCAAAGTCAGTATATTACACAATATCTTAAAGTAAACATTGAAACTTGTTTAACTTGAACACTAGGATAACTCAAAATTGTTCATGACCCGTCAAACTTCATTAACTCAAAATTGTTCACGACCCGTCAAACTTCATTAACTCAGAATTGTTCACGACCCGTCAAACTTCATTAACTCAAAATTGTTCACGACCCGTCAAACTTCATTGACTCAAATTTGTCAGGTCGTGAACAAATTTGAGTAAATGAAGTTTGACTATACAGGATTATATCCAAGACAACAAAAAACCTTCCATCAAAAGACTTAGTGAAAATTTTTTTCAAAAGAAGAATTGATAAGATGGAAGAGAAAAGTCTTTTGAGACAACAACATATTAAAACATCTCCCTTATTTTCAATGTGTAACCATTACATACATGTTTTTAAACATGTCTGATCTGTACCTTACTAATTGATAATCAGTGTTTTATCACTTTCCTATAGGTCTATATTATGGTAGCTCACCTGCATTCATCCACAATCTCCTTAAATGATGGACGCTCAGCTGGGGTGTGCTTCCAGCACCACTTCATAAGATCCCAGACTCTATCTGAACATCTCTCTCCACAGTTCGGTCTCTCAAGTCGCTCACCATCGTTAAGTCGCTGACCAAGAGTTGTCAAGTCTTCTCCGTACTGTGGTTGCTTTCCATGTGTAAACGCTTCCCACAAAACAACACCATAACTCCATACATCACCAAGTGTCGTGAATTTTAAAGTTGTCAGACCCTCTGGGGAACACCTGTAATGATGAATACCAAGATTGATCTCCAAGGAACTCTGTACTCTATACTGTATATGAAGTGTGGACAGAAAACAAAAGTCAAACCTTAGATCAAGTACTAGTTACTATACTGCACCTAAAGGAAATATTACCATGGTAACAAAGTCTTAAAGCAACATCATGGTAAAACAATATATATTTATATCAAGTGAATCTCCTTATAAAGAATTTCAGTTGGGTCTTGCTGAAGTATACTGAAAGGATAAAGAAACGCAGGGTAATATTTTTCCGATATTTTGAAAACGCGTCTCCAAATAAAGTGAAACTTTGTGGATTGAGTAATTAGGTCATATTACACCTTGTCATGTATCGAAAATTTAGTCACAGTACAGTGCGCAGCTCTGGTAAATGGATGAAGGAAAAAACAAGAATCTCATGCACCGTGTTGTTCTGGTCTCATGCAGCGTTGGTCAAGTCACTCTTCGTTAGTCTTTATACAGACCAATTGCTTCCCTAAAATTAATTGAAAATTTGATTCGTTTCAAGAATGGCACGACTCACAGAAGTTCAGAGGGGTCAGGCCATTCAGATGCTGATGCAAGGACAGCTGCAAAATCGGGTTGCTAGGCACTTTGGTGTTAATGTTTCAACCATAGAACGTCTTGTAAGACGTCTTCGGGAAACTGGGCGATTGGCCGATCGACCTAGGTCAGGACGTCTGCGCGTAACGTCATGACGTCAGGATCGCTATATCGTCGTCTCTCATGTGCATAATCAGCGCCTTACTGCCGTTGAGAGTGCACTAAATGTTCGTGGAAATCATGGGCGTCCTTTAAGTTCAAAAACTGTAAGGAATCGATTACGAGAAGTTGGTGTAAGAGTACGTCGCCCCTACGTAGATCCACACCTTACCCCTGCTCGACGACAAGTTTTCTTCACGGACGAGTCTCGATTCTGTCTTTAATGATCTGACGGCAGTCAACGTGTCTACCGATGTTGTGGCGAATGAGAGGGATAGGTTTGGGGGCGGTTCAGTAATGGTTTGGGGAGGAATCTCACACGGGTTAAAATCACAATTGGTTGTTATTGATGCCAATTTAGCAGCAGCTAAATATAGAGATGAGATCTTCCGACCCCATGTTATCCCTTTCTTACAGCAGCATAATCTAACCCTCCAGCAGGATTATGCTAGGCTCCACATAGCAAGGATTTGCCAAGTCTTTCTGGCCAACAACAACATTCAACCACTAGATTGGCCGCCATATAGCCCTGATTTGTCCCCGATCGAGCATCTTTGGGACCATTTGGATAGACAGGTTCGAAAGCGCCAGCCACCCCCTGCTACTTGAGAGCAGTTGACCAGAGCTCTCATTGAAGAGTGGGACAACATCCCCATAAGACGGATTAACGCTCTCATGAACTCTATAACCAGAAGAATAAGGGCCGTGACCAAAGCAAACGGCGGACACACAAGATATTGATGACTCAGTTCAATTTCAATTTCAAAATCCTATGGGTCTTTTCAATTTAATCGGTAGTACCTCTAAACCAATTGTCAGATGCAAAATGCAGACTTTGGAAATTTTTAAGCTTTAATTTATCTGTAAGTATACAAAATTTTGTTTTAAATGAAGCCCGATATCATACTTAATTTCTGGTTTAAAGTTCACCCTGCGTTTCTTTATCCTTTCAGTATATATACATAAAAGATTTTAATTGATAATAAAAAAAAAGATATATTTCACACTGTTGATCAACAGTCTGGACATGTCAATTTTGTTGCCACACACATGATAATGAATGTGGAGAAAACAAATCCACTGTAAATATTGGGACTGTAAGTGTAGTAAACATGTACCATCAATAACACTGGAAATCCACTGTAAATATTGGGACTGTAAGTGTTGTAAACATGTACCATCAATAACATTGGAAATCCATTGTAAATATTGGGACTGTAAGTGTAGTAAACATGTACCATCAATAACACTGGAAATCCACTGTAAATATTGGGACTGTAAGTGTTGTAAACATGTACCATCAATAACATTGGAAATCCATTGTAAATATTGGGACTGTAAGTGTAGTAAACATGTACCATCAATAACACTGGAAATCCACTGTAAATATTGGGACTGTAAGTGTAGTAAACATGTACCATCAATAACACTGGAAATCCACTGTAAATATTGGGACTGTAAGTGTTGTAAACATGTACCATCAATAACATTGGAAATCCATTGTAAATATTGGGACTGTAAGTGTAGTAAACATGTACCATCAATAACATTGGAAATCCACTGTAAATATCGGGATAGACTGTAAGTGTACATGTACTATCAATAACATTTTTTTTCACTATGATGTCACTTAAGTTCGCAAATGAAACTAGACCAATGTCGAGGAAGGGCCCCGCATAATACCTACCCCTTATGATTGAGTTTCTTAATATTAAGAAATATATGGACAGGTGTCAAGTATTGAAAGCAACTTTCATCAAAATCCAATGAAAATGGACAGATGGACAGATATATGGATCGACGGACAGGGAAACGGACGGACAGACAGACGGACAGGGTGAACATTGAACTCGAATGAGGGGCTTATGTACCAAGTATCACAAAGCAAGTTTTAAAGAAATCCCAAATCATTCCTTCAGAAGATATTCTCTGTAAAACATTCAGCCAATCAGATTGCAGCAGCCTCATTAAATATGCGCGGAATTCGGCAAACATCGAACTTGAGCGAGGGACTTATGTACCAAGTATCATAAGCAAGTTTCATCGAAATCCCATCATTCCTTCTCAAGATATCGCGTGGAAAGCGAAACCGACAGACATGTAAAACATTCAGCCAATCAGATTGCAGCAGCCTCATTAAATATGCGCGGAATTTGGCGAACATCGAACTTGAGCAAGGGATTTATGTACCAAGAATCATAAGCATGTTTCATCGAAATCCCATCATTCCTTCTCAAGATATCGCGCGGAAAGCGAAACCGACAGACATGTAAAACATTCAGCCAATCAGATTGCAGCAGCCTCATTAAATATGCGCGGAATTTGGCGAACATCGAACTTGAGCGAGGGACTTATGTACCAAGTATCATAAGCAAGTTTCATCGAAATCTCATCATTCCTTCTCAAGATATCATACGGAAAGCGAAACGGACAGACAGACAGACAGACGGACAGACAGACGGACAGACGGACAAGGTGATTACTATAGGGCACCCGCATCGCGATGCGGGGCCCTAATGAGATCAAAATTTGAACAAAACAAAGATTGACATGACCACATGATGATGTACAGAGAGAATAAGACCAGGTGTTCCTAATGGATAAATATCTTTAGTTTTCCAATCAACTGTTGTCATGTAAATCTTGATCAATCCAAGCAAACAATGTCACTTTATCAAATAAAAGCAAGGTTAACGACAAACCAATCACCGAGCACATTAACGGGCACCAAACCAATCACCGAGCACATTAACAGGGATCAAACAAATCACCGAGCTCATTAACGAGCATCAAACAAATCGCCGAGCACATTAACGAGCATCAAACCAATCACCGAGCACATTAACGAGCATAAAACAAATCACCGAGCACATTAACGAGCATCAAACAAATCACCGGGCACATTAACGAGCGTCTAACAAATCATCGAGCACATTAACAAGCATCAAACAAATCTCTGAGCACATTAACGAGCATCAAACAAATCACCGAGCACAGTAATGAGCATCAAACAAATAACCGAGCACATTAACGAGCATCAAACAAATCACCGAGCACATTAATGAACATCAAACAAATCTCTGAGCACATTAACGAGCATCAAACAAATCATCGAGCACATTAACGAGGATCAAACAAATCACCGAGCACATTAACGAGGATCAAACAAATCTCTGAGCACATTAACAAGCATCAAACAAATCAACGAGCACATTAACGAGCATCAAACAAATCACCAAGCACAATAACCAGCATCAAACAAATATCTGAGCACATTAAGGAGCATCAAACAAATCACCGAGCACATTAACGAGCATCAAACAAATCTCTGAGCACATTAATGAACATCAAACAAATCTCTGAGCACATTAAGGAGCATCAAACAAATCACCGAGCACATTAACGAGCATCAAACAAATCACCGAGCACATTAATGAGCATCAAACAAATCTCTGAGCATATTAACGAGCATCAAACAAATCCAAAGCGTTATTGCATTAAAGTCCTCAGAAGGAAAACAAGTAGGGTTATAGTTATACTGACAAAAATTCCCCGTATCTTATGGGACACAAGTACAGTTATAGTTATACTGACAAAAATCCCCAGTTATACTGACAAAAATCCCCGTATCTTATGGGACACAAGTACAGTTATAGTTATACTGACAAAAATCCCTAGTTATACTGACAAAAATCCCCCGTATCTTAAGGGAAACAAGTGGTTATAGTAATACTGACAAAAATCCCCCGTATCTTATGGGACACAAGTACAGTTATAGTTATACTGACAAAAATCCCCAGTTATACTGACAAAAATCCCCGTATCTTATGGGACACAAGTACAGTTATAGTTATACTGACAAAAATCCCCAGTTATACTGACAAAAATCCCCCGTATCTTAAGGGAAACAAGTGGTTATAGTAATACTGACAAAAATTCCCCGTATCTGAAGGGACACAAGAACAGTTATAGTTATACTGACAAAAATCCCCAGTTATACTGACAAAAATCCCCCGTATCTTCAGGGAAACAAGTACAGTTATATTTATACTGAAACAAATTCCCTGTATCTTAAGGGAAACAAGTGGTTATAGTTATACTGACAAAAATCCCCCGTATCTTAAGGGACAAAAGTACAGTTATAGCTATACTGACAAAAATAACCCTGATCTTAAGGGAAACAAATGGTTATAGTTATACTGACAAAAATCCACAGTTATACTGACAAAAATCCCCCGTATCTTAAAGGAAATAAGTAGGGTTATAGTTATACTGACA